CGTGCTGTGGAAAAACATCAGAAGAATGTTCATGATCATCATCACTACATTCCTGCCGTTCAACAACACATTCATCATTCTCAACTTGATCATCGTAAACATGGATATTTGCCAGTCAACAGAAAGCAGGAGCAGAAGGCTACTGTAGTTCATGAGCATCAATACCTGCCAGCGGTCCGAAGAACTGAGCAAGCAAATGGATACGATCGAACTCATCACTACATTCCAGCTGTTCAAAATGCGAAGCAGGCTACGCAGCAAGTCCACGAAGATCACCACTACGTGCCGCAAGCCAGCCCACGGAAACATGTATCGGAGGTGAATCGGTCTCACAATTATATTCCAGCCCTTCCACCTAAAGAGCACCAGCATGAGCAGACCTCTTCTTCTCATTCTTATCTTCCCCCATCTTCCCAACAATCTGTTAGTCACACATCTCCTCCCAAGCTCATCAATCACCACTCTTTTGTCCCTCAGGTTCCAACGAGAATCAAAGAAGCTCAAGTCATCCATGAGCATCATTATGTGCCGCCAGTGCAAAAAGTCGAGGCACACCAGAACGCTGATCACTCCAAGCATGCCTATATGCCAACGTTGCAGCGTGAAGAGCAGAAAAATGATACGGATCACTCGAAGCATGGATATGTTCCATCTTTGCAATCCTCACAACGATCGGGACGAAGTGACTTCTCGAATCACAATTATATGCCACCTGTGAGATCTTCAGAAAATCAAAAACCAGCAGATCATACCAAGCATGGATATCTTCCATCTACCAGACGATCCAAGAGCTCAGATCATGTTGACCACACTAAGCACGCTTACCTCCCACCTGTTAAGCACTCTGAAGGCAAAGTGGTCGCCGATCACACCCATCATGGCTATCTCCCATCCGTTAAGCATCAAGAGGCCCAGGAGCATGCTGATCATTCCAAGCACGGATACGTACCGCCTGTGAAGAAAGCCAATAACGATTTCTGGGGGTTCGAAAGAGAACACCATTATGTCCCAGACACATTGAAGAAGGACAAAATCAAGCAGATTCATCGAGACCATCATTTTGTCCCATCTGTCACCAAAGCCAAGGTTGAAGAGAAGCAAGACATCGCTGACCACCACTACGTTCCACCAGTCAGAAAGAACACTGGAATCACCTCTGAGATTGAGCATCGTCACAACTTCATCGAGAAGCTTCCAGAGAAAAGTTCGACACCAAAACTCCCAGAGAACCATCACTACGTTCCGACTGTTCATAAATCTGCTCACCAGAAACAGTTCAATGTGGAGAAGCATAGCTATGTCCCAACGTTCCCAATGCTGGCTGAAAGTAATCGTCGACCTGATATTCGTCATCACAATTATGTTCCAACTCTAGTGAAGCAACATGAGCATAAGGAGCTGTTTGATCAACACCACTATGTTCCCCAATTTGCCAAACCTTCTGATGTAAAACTTGTGGATTATGAGAAGCATCATTATGTGCCAACAGTGGCCGAGAGGACAGTTGCGAATAACTTTGAACGTGAGCATCAGTACACCCCAGCATTGGTAAGGGCAAATGACTCAAAGGTTTTGGTGAACAGTCAACATAATTTTGTGCCATCCTACCAGACTCCTACAGTTGTTCATCAGGAGCTCAACACCCACCATGGATATATTCCAGACATTCCTAGAAAAGAAAACAACTCTCATCCTGCTCCTCTAAACCATCACTACATGCCACAAGTCCCATTAAAGGAAATTGCTCCTGATTATGATCACCATCATCACTACGTTCCTCCAGTTCAACATAAAGATCCAGTGCCAGCTGTTGACTACCACCATCACTACATTCCGTCTGTGAAGAAGCCAACAAGCACCACTACAGAAATGATCCGCCAGCAGCGTAAAAAGATTCTGAAAAGCACTGATGACGATGAGGACCAAGAAAATCAACATGCCACTCAAACGATCTACACAAATGCAAATGTGAAGCCGTACAAGATACTTCCTGATGAACAATCCAACTACATGCTGCAGAACCGTAAATCTCGTGGAATCCCAGAGGAACCCCATTTCCCAGTTCCCAAACCCCGATCCTTCACCTCTCCACAACCTGATTATTAATTCTATTAAACTTTGTTCTTTCTATCCTCCTTTTTTATCTTCCTTTTTTAGTATTTTATCATCTAATCTACCATTTTTGATAACTGATAACTTGTTTCCTCACCACACCCTTCTTCCCAACTATCTCTCTTTTTCATATTTTTAGTTTCCTTCCTTCCTGCCAATCTGATTAGGTACACTGAGCTTCCGCTTGATATCAATACACACAGATTGTTACAGAAAGTGAGTGAGCACGTGCAGTTGGGCGGCTCCCGCAAGTCGACCATACAAAGTGGACATCATCACCATCATCACCATCACGAGAATCATAACGATGTTCCATCGAGACCATCAAGTGTTGCTAGTTCCGTCCATGTGAGTGATTTCAGGGATTTCAACATTTTTTTTCAGATTGGAGCATATACAGTATCTGTAAATAAAACGAGGGGGCAATAAAAAGAAGCGTGTCAGCAATTTGCTGGTTTTTCTATGCTGAGGGGAACAAAATTAGCAATTAGGCTATTCGATGCGATGACCTTCTAGCGAACTCTATGTTCATCTAATTTTGAGTTCGAAAATCGTTTCAACATTAAAGGCACATATGGTTTTCTACAAATGTTTTGCACGAATTAGCCAAATGGCCTAAGAAGACTAGCAAATGACCTAGAAAACTCCTGCATTGGAAATTGCCAATATTCTTCTCTCTGATCAACCCCATACAACAATTTTTGACCATCTTAGCCATTTTCAGGAGTATAGTGCTCGATTTTCTAGTTTCCGATCACTTTACAAACTTAAGAGGGTGGGAAACAGACCAAAATTGAAAACTTTGCATTCACTGAATTTTTTTATTCCTAAATTTTCAGCAATTCACCGATTTCTGAAAAAATGCTGTATTTTTTACGTTTTCAGTACAACGACAGGGTGTCTTTCAGAAATCGGCGAATAGCTGAAAAACTGGAACATTCGAAAAATTCTGTGTATGCGAAATGTTCAATTTAGCCGTATTTTACAGCCTCATAAGTTTTCGAAACGATCGGAAACTTGACAGCCGAGCTCTAGACTCTTGAAAATGTTAAAAATGGCCGGAAACTGACTGAAAAATACTTTCGGTATCTTAGGTTTGTATTTGAAACTTCTAGAAACCTCGTTTTTCAGCATCAACCACATTCTCGAACCTCGACGGTGAGCACTGTCCGCGGAGCACCAATTCAACGTAAGATAACTTTTTCAAGCGGATTACTGTAAAATCATTTCAGGTGTCCAACCAATCCAAAATCCATACGGAGACCATCAATCGGTCCGTGTCGTCAAGAATGTTCGTGAATTCGTCAACGTCTTCGGAGCCACCCACGTTGTTCCACCACCAACCCCACTGGCTGGCATCCCACGTCTTCCACCAAGAAGCCCAATTTCTCATGAGACCTTCCAGCCACACTGCGAGTCTGTGAAGTCGTCTCGCAAGAGTTCAGTGGTTTCTATTGGGAACGGAGTTCAAATCAATAATGTAAGCGAGGGTTTTCTGTTTTTCAACATAGATACAGTACCGAGATATACAAAAAATCATTTTTCAGTTGATTTTTGCTAATTTTCAGGTGCCTGGAGCACATCTGTCAAGTTTTCGATCATTTTGAGAGGTTTGGAGGGAGTGGAAAAAATTTAAATTGAAAACTTTGCATTTATAGAATTTTTTGAAAATTCTTTTTTCCGGTTTCTAAAAAACAACCATTTTCGGCCCATTTTGCACTGAAAACGCGAAAAAAAGGGTCGTTCAGAAATCGCCAAAATACTGAAATAACGGCAATTTTCAAGAATTCTGTGAATGCAAAATTTTCAATCTTGGTCTGTTTTACATCCTCTAAAGTTTTTGAAGTGATCGAAACCTTGAAAGCCGAGCTCCAGACTTCAAAATTCTCAAAATCACCTAAAATCAACTGAAAAAAATTGTGTGTTGGAGATCTTATTGAACGATACTATATTTCCATTGACTTCAGGCTGCCCGTAAATCCACCTGCTCTTCCGTCACCTCTTCTCGCAAGTCTTCCGTCTCCAGTGTCAATGGCCCAGTTATTGTCGGTGGAAATGTCGTGTGTCCAGCTCCGGTAACCAATATTCTCATTTTTGAAGTTCAAAATTTAATTTTTTAAAAAATTATTTCAGAGATCCCGCAATGCCACTCTCACTCAAGAAAACGTTCATGATCACTACGAAGGCGAGCACACCGACTTGATTCATGTCGCCGATATGCGCAAACTTTTCGAAAATTATGGACCAGCTCATCTTCCGGAATACGCTTCTTCTCCATATGCTTACATTCACTAATTTTCTTATTGGTACTCTTCTTTTTTGTCTGTTTTTTTATTATCTGATTTTTAATCCATGTAGTTTTTGTACTTAAATTGGGATAGTTGGGAATATTTTATTGTAATTTTAATCGTTTTTGTGTATGAGTGAGTCCGTAATTTTTTTTGCGATTTTTTCGAAATAAATTATTTTTCTCATGAAATGTTCAGCTTTTCCGGGCAAAGAAAAATAGAAAACTCTGAATTTCGTGCATTAAATTTGAAAAAAATTGTTATTTTAAAAACCTCAACATTTACGAACACAAATTCAAGCAAAACACATAAAAAACCGGAAATTGACGTTCTCTATCTTGCGTGATCCATTTCCCCTTTTTGGGAGCTATTTTGGAGGGTTAGACGGGGGGAAGTGCGCGCAGTGGGTCCTCTTGCGTCCCTCCACTATCGATTTTCCCTTCTTTTCTCCTCATGAGCCCATGCTAATACGCACCACGCGGTGTCTTCATCCCAAATGAAGGACGAAAAAGAAGAAGTTCTGGAATTGAAACGACAAGTGAGTTGTATTCCTTATTTTCTTCTGAAAATTCTTTCATTCCAGCTGGCTGCACTCCAACAAAAATGCAACGCGAAAACCGACACCATCGTTCGTCTCGGACAAGACCTGGAGAAATCGGAGAATGAAAAAAAAGGATACGTGGCGAGAGTGGAGACATTGGAACGGAATTTGGAAAGGACAGAGAAGGAGTTGGGATTGCTATGTGCCGTAAGTATTAGGAAATCCTTAAAATTAAAATTGTGGTTTCAAAGGTCGAGAAGGATATGAAAATTAAAAATGCGTCGGAGCGACAAGATTTGATTGAGGATATAAATAAATATAAACGAGAGAATATGAAGTTGAGGAGTGATCGACAAGAACTGATGGATGAGAAAGCTGATTTGAAGAAGGATTGCAAAACTTTCAGACAGACAATTGCACAGTATGAGGTTGGTTTTTTTTGTATTTGAAAAAAAAAGTCGGTATTGTATTGTCGGCGATTTTTCGTTCTGAAAATTCTGGAAATTTCGATTAAAAGTATTGCGATGGAAATGAATGTTTTAAAACAATTTTTCAGCTTTGAAAGGTACTAGAAAATTGGTGAAAAATACACTAGGAAGGAAAAATGAAAACACTGGCAGGGTTCTTCTCAAAAGAAGGTTTTTTTCTTCAAAAGTAATTTGAAGTATAAAAATGGCTCTACATGGGAACCGCAACACTTTGTTCTCCCCGATTACAATCAAAAGTTCCGGATAAAATGAAAATGGCCTATCTAGACATTTCTGAACATTTTAGAAGCTGGTTACAGTACCAAAATTGCGCTTTAAAAAAATTAATTTTCAAAAATGACTTTTTCTCAATTTCTAGACGTTTTCAAACATAAAAGTTGTTTTTACACTTGAAACTGGATGAAATCCCCTATTCCAGACATTTTCTCGTAAAACATTTTTTTTTATTTTGGTAAGAATGTTCCTTTTTTACGCTTCTTTCTGTCCAGAATATTTCAGTAGCTTAAATAATTGAAGTCAATTTTCTAAAACAAATTTCAGGTTGAAAAAATGGGCGGTATGGTTCGGACCTGTCTTTCAAATGATGACGAAGAAACTGCGATGCTTGGAGCTTATGAAAAACTGCAAACGAAGGTATGTCTTACATTATTTCGTACAATAACATACAAAAACGAGTTTTCTCATGAATTTCGGTTACTTTGAGCATTTTCAGGAGTCTGGAGCAAGGCTGTCAAGTTTCCGATCATTTTAAATATTTTGGAGAGTGTAAAATAGCCCTAGATTGAAAAATTAGTATTTTCAAAATATTTTGGATATCTCTAGTTTTACAGCTATTTGCCGATTTCTGAGACACACCTTTTTCTGTCTCGTATTTGTACTGGAAAAATGAAAAAAAAAAGATTTCTTTCGACAATCTGCAGATAGCTGAGAAACTAAGCATTTTCGAAAATTTTTGCGAATGAAAATTTTGCAATCTAGTTTTACACCTCCCAAAATTTCCAAAGTTTTTGATAGCTTGAATGCTGAGCTCCAGACTCTTGAAAAAAGTTCAAAATAGCTAAAAACCGACTGAAAATACGTTTTTTCAATATCTTATTTACCGGTACTATATATATACACATATTTTCACATTTCAAAATTTTTCAGTGCCGCGAACTGGAATCCGACTTAAAATCCATGCTGGGTATCAAAGAAGAACTCCTGCTGGAACGCGACGAAATGCAGAGGAAGGTAGCGAGACTGAGCAATGAACTCAGTTATCTACTCAATGGAGATCCCCGAAGAGTTAGTTTTTTTTCTGTTCCCCCCGTTCTCCCACTTCCGTCCTCATTCGTTTTTTTCTAGTGTCATCGTCAACATTTGACAACTTTTCTAATTGGCGTATTTAAGGTAGCCGAAGATTTGGACAGTTTAGTGGCTGAGAACCGGTTTTTGAAAGCCAAACTGAACACGGCAGAGGAGGAGAGCGAGTCCATAAAAATGACTCTGGCGAAATACAAACAGATGGCCGAAGCCGTAAATGTACAGGTAGAAAAAACACACATTTCATGACTCCTTGTTCTTGAAATTCACTGTTTCAGTCATTGAACAGATCTCCAAAGGCAGGGGAAGGAGATGAAAAACCGAGTGTCGCAGTAATCAATATGAAACAAAGTAATGGAAATTGTTCTTCCAGTTATTTTTGTCAATTTTAAAATTTTTTGCAGTCCGCGAACTGCTAACCTCCCATGCAATCGAGTTGGACGAGTCTGACCATCGAGCCATTACAACCATTCTGCTCGATTTGTGCAATGATAAGCAAATGGCGTTGGCACACTCGCGACGAGCTAACAAGTCGTTCTTTTTCATCATATAACATCAAACAGATTATTTTTAGAGTGTTGGGCATGCGGCTACATGAGGTGGAATCGAAATTGGCAGTGCTTGATGTAAAATCGAGGAGTTCGAGTCCAAGACACGAAGAAATAGAGCTAACGGTACCAACAACATCTAACTTGTGATCACAAAAAAAGAAGGAATCAGGAAAAAACTTGTTAATAAAAACGTTAAAATATATTTACAAGACAAAAACAACTATGAGAAATACAAAAAAAAATCTCAAAACAAAAAGAAAAACGTTTTAAATTATACATATGAGAATCTGTTTAGGTTCGTAATAGCGGGCAGGGTGTAGCTAATAGCACATCTTGTGTTCGTCTCCACGTTTCACAAGCTTTCAGGTTGAAATAGCAAGAGTTACGGTAGATGTTCTCGTGTTGGTCACAAATGACAGACAGCTCGTCAGTGCATCCAGCAGGGCAGCATTTACCTGAAAACGTCTAGTTTTTGTTGGATAAAATATTTTGGGTCTTGTTACCTTGATAATCCAAAGTCAGCGTAGTGTTTTGTGTGTGGATCTTGTCAAAAATACACTTGGAATTGTGGAAATGACATAAGGAGTCGTGAGTTCTTCCTTGAGAATCACACACAGGTTGACCAGTTTTAGGGCAGGAAGCTAAGGCGCAGCATTCTCCTCAAAATATGTCATAAGTTTATGAATACCGTATTTTCTCCAATAGAAGCCCACGCTAGACGCGCACTTTTAGCACAATTATCTCGATTCCTGGGACAGATATCAAAAGTTTGCCAACTGATAAAATATCGCTGATACTGTAATAAACAAATTCTAAGTTGACAAGTTTTTGATATCTATCACAAAAACAAAGATAATTGAGCTCAAAGTGAACCTATTTTGCGATGTTGAATCCGCTAACAGGACCATTGCTTCAAAAAATAAATTGATCTGGTTGAAAGTAATACCGTATGACACGCCACCTGTACTCACCGTAAAACCTGTGATAGAAGGGTTTCCTAACTTCAAGCCAGTTTATCAAGGTTACAGTTAAAGAAATGAAAAAAGTTGTCATCTGTTAATATGTTGACCATAATATTACAAACATTTTGGCCGTTGATGCATTTGTGATATCTTGCATAGGGGCCAAGAAAATAGTTCAAACTGACGGTATGTACATAGCTCTATAATCTTGATTCTCCTATGAGTAACATTTAAAAAAACTGGCCAACTCAAATATGCTTGTCATAAAATGACTTTTGATTTTATAGATTTTTGATATCAGTGACAGAAATTGAGATAAAAGTGCACATATAGACGTAACCTTCTATTAAAGGAATTTTGGTAAATTCTAACAGAAATACAAAAATTACCTGTATGAACAATATTCAGGGTTTTTAGAGTTATCCTCTGAGCAATACATCTCTTCTGTTGGTATACACAATGATTCGCATGTGTCTGTCCTTCGGAGTCGCAAACTGCTCCAGAAGTCTCACATTCGCCTTTCGGAAGTACGCAACACTCTCCATTATAAGCAATGCTAAGAGTTTTGTTCACACGTTCCGCTTCACATTGAGAAATTCTAGAAATTTTTGTTTTGGTGAAAATTTTATGGCCATGACCCACCGAAATTTGCAAGTATTTGAATGAGTGAAGGTGCCGTCACAAACAGGAGAGTCGTCCTCGTCACAAGGCTGGTTGCAGCATTGGCCCTGAAATTATAGATTCCTGTAATGAACTTCCATAAGGTAATTACCTGGTAAGAAACTTGAATAGTCTTCTTGAACTTTTTCAACTGGATACAAGCGTTATGATTCATAAGACACATGTTTGCATGAGTTATTCCTTCAGTGTCACAAACTGGAGAGAATGCTGAGAAATCGCAGTTTTCCAGTCTACAGCACTCTCCATCGTACTCCTTCACTAGTTTTTCTCCAGTTGTCACATTGTTCTCAACGAGACATCGGATTTTGTTCAGCTCACATTCGTTGACAATATTCTGCTGGTTTGATGCGCAAACTGGGGAGTATTCTTTGGGACATTGCGCGTTGCAAGCTTGGATTTCATTGCAAACTTCGAATTTTTCAATGGTTAAAACGTCTCCGAATGTTCTCTCAGCGATGCATCGTTTGATTCCAAAGTGACAAATGTTCTGGAATTTTAAGCACATTTTGGTCATACATCAATTTTACATTTCAGACAAAAATTGATATTGAAAGCTGAATATTTTGATAGAAAATTTTTTAATGTGTTTTTGAAATTGATTTTTTTTTGCAAATTCGCGCAATTTACAGTAAACAGCAAGGTGTCTTGCAGAAATTATCAATTAGCTGATAAGTTTTGAATATTCAAATATTCTATGAATGAAAAATTTTCAATTTATAACTGTTTCACAGCCTCAAAAATTTTCAAATTGATTGCAAATTCGACAGCAGTGCTCCAAGCCTCTGTTAATGGTCACAATAGCATAAAATCAATCAAAACATTCGTTTTTGTGTAACTGTTCGACTCGTACAGTACATTGCAAATGATACAGAATTATAAGTACCTGATGAGTGTTGCCTTTGCTATCACAAACAGGACTGAAATCTGATGGACAATTGGTATCACAACACATTCCCGTATAGGCAATTTCAATTGTTGATGAGCTGGAAAATGAAAAATGAAATTTTTAACAGCTAAAAATTGCAGTCACTTTTCAGCGTTACAAATTTCCTTCTGCAACGAGCATGCATTGGTATATGTGATCCCATTGGTTCCACATAACGGATCGTAAGAGTTGTCACATTCCATAGAGCAATTAAACGAGTTTTCTCTTTTAAACTCTATATTTGGTTTTTGAAAATTACGGTTGCTCGAGAAGTCGTCTGTTAGCAAATCTCTGAAAAACAAATGATGTATGAAAAAATAAATAGAATCCAACTTTTCGCAAATTCCCTGGGAAACGATTTCCAGCTTCGGTTGGTCTAGCTTCTTTAATTTGCAGTTTTCGATTTTCAACTCGCACTCTGTGAGAAATGTTGCCCCACTATCCGTGCAAACTGGGTCGGGTTTTTCGGTATCACAAGATTCCACCGGTGGACAGCAAGTACCGATCTGACATTTTTTAACGTTCAAAAACCCTTTTATTTTAGAATTTCTAACGACTCACATATTGCACAGTCAAATTCACACCGTAACCACGCTCGAAAATACAAGAGAGCATTTGATACTCGCATAGTGATTTGGTTGATTGATCTTCCAAACAGACAAACGCCTCGTCTGGTGAATTCTCGGCTGGTAGAGCACAAGGGGAATCAAGGCATTCGTTGCATTTTCCTAAAAAGTTTGAAATAAATTTACCGTAAACCCCGTAATAGAAGGGTCCCCACATTGTCAAGTTTGAGCGGGGTCTTCGCAATTCCAATGCAAAATGCCAAAAATGCGTAAACTAACAAAACATTTCTGATATTATGATGAATAGTTTTACAATTGACGGATTTTTTATATTTTTCACAGGAATCAGGGTAATTTGACTCAAAGTTTACCGTTTGGGTAAGCTGTTAGAGGAAATACGGTACTTTAAAAAAAGACTAACCTTTAAACAAAACTTCCAGCTCTGCGTCTAAACACTTTTGCTTTCTGAACTGACACAAATTTTCGTAGGTCAAAAAGTCCGAAGCACAAATCGGATGCTTATCTTCTGTACATGGCATTTCGCAAGCTTCCTTTGAGATGCAGTTCTCTTCAGTGGCGATATGTATCTGATGACCCTTGCTGGCAGCCAAACATCGAGAATAGGTAAATTCGCAGAGGTTTCTAAAAAATATATCTGTCATTGAAAAATATTTAGACGGCGAAATTTGGAAAAAAATCACCCATGTAAATTGCCGGCGGAGTCACACACTGGTTGTCCATCGGTGGGACAGTTTGGCTTTGGACAGTCGAAGAAGGCAACATCAGGAAAAGGTTCTTCGGTAGTAGTAGCTGTTGCTGTTGTTGTGGGGATTACTGTAGTTGTTGATGGAGCATCTGAGACAGTTTGCGTGGTAGTCATGGTGGGGCGTGTCGTTGTTGTAGTAGTGGTGACTGGAGTGCTGGTGCTGGTGGTGCTTTTCTGAATTTCGAGGTTTTCTGAAAATCAGTTCTCTAACAAAAAGTTACCATGACTTTCTCGAGAGCACTAACGATAAATGTAGTTTTCTCGGACGGTTTTGAAGGAGTTACCGATGCCTCAGACTTCCCGATTTTAACTTCCACATTGGACACCGAAGCTCTCATTTCCACATTCTCAACAGCAGTATCAATTTTACGATTCTTGACACATGGTCGGAGATAGCGAAGGTACGGTGATCGGATCCCCAACTGAGAATATACTAAAATTTCAGGAATTCCAAAAAAAGCATTTCACCTTCCGCATGTTGCAATTATACTGTTGAAAGTGGCACAGGTTTTGATGAGTGTTATTGGCTTCATCGCAAACGGGCTTCACGTCACGACTGCAAGTCCTTGGACACATTTCCACCTGAAGAATTAGCCAATTGAATTGTAATGGTGTCTTTTTTATTAATTGACCTACTTTCAGGGCAAACTGTGGACTTCTTGAGTGGCACGGCTTAACGTGAACTAGCACTCGTTCTTCCTCGTTGTTGTTTCGGGCATCACAATTGAATTGGATGAAGGAGCAGAGGTCGGGATGAGTCTGGAATGAGGATTAGCATAAAATATGATGGTTGGTGTAAATTTTGGCTTTTTAAGGGTTTTGGGTTACAAACGACATATCTATCTCAGCAGTACAAAATTAACAAAACAACTGAATACTTCTGATTTTTGTTTTTTTAAAAACAATTTTCCAATTGAAATGTTTGAAAATTCCGATATGTTCAAAATTGGAATATTCTGAAATTCCGAACATGTGGAAAAAATATTCTGCCATCCCGAACTTTTCAAGTGCTGAATTACCCGAATTTCTGTATATTTTCAAAATCAGAATAACAGAAAATTTCGAAATGTACAAAACTGGGATATTCTAAAATTCCGAAATTTTCATAATCGGAGTACCTTAAAAATTTCAAAATCCACTATTGTTGTAATTGAAATATTCCGAATTTCTGATTTGTTTCCAAATCGGAACATCACGGAATTCCAAAATTTCGAAAATCGGATTTTCCCAAAATTCCTAAAATCCAAAAGTTTCAAAACCGGAATGTTTGAAAATTTTCTAAATTGAAATATTTCAAAATTCCAAAATGTTCAAAATTAGAATATTCGGAAATTCCGAGATTTTCCAAATCGATATAATTCCAAATTCCGCTATTCTTTCAATTGGAATATTTCGAAATTCCAAAACTATCCAAATCAAAATATCTCGAAGTCCAAAGTTTCCCAAATCTGAATATTCGAAAAAAAAAGAAATTCCAAAGTTAAAAAAATCCAAATTTTCGACATTTTGAAAATTTCAAAAAAAGTAATTTTGAACTTCCCCCAAAATAAGTGAAAAAAAACAATCACAAAAAAAATCAAATGTTGCCTTTTCAGTTTAATCAAAACTCACCATATTCTGATTATCACAAATTGGAATCCGTTTTTCATCCTTTGGACAAGTGATACATGTGCTCTTCCTCTGAAATTTTTTTCCCAACTTTATCTCGCTCTCACAGGCATTCTCACCGCCTTACAAGCTCCGGTATGCGCAATGTCAATTATACTGCCGTCGATTTTGTTTATCTGAAACTCGGATCTTCGTATTTTGAAGTTCTCCGTTTTTATGGTCACCTTGCAAGCAAAGAATTTGAACTGGCAGACGTTTTTATGCGTTCGGTTCCTGGTGTCGCATACCGGATCCCACGACTTGTCGCACTCAATGATACTGCATACCCGATTAAGATCGTTCCTCTGGAAGAACAAAAAAGATACATTTCTGCCATTTTTGTTTGTCTCCCCTTTTTCGAAAACTCCCCAAAAGCCGAAGGTTACATTTACCTCTTGGTCGTTTTCAAAAAAAATGAAAAGAATGCTGTAAACGAAGATAGCATCAGTACATTTTGAATAATGGCCTCTCCCAGATGTTATCTACTGCCACACAAGCGATTACTAGCAGGTTTTACCGCTTCTAAAGAAAACTTACCGTCAAAGGAGACTGGTTGGCAAGCGGGGTTGGTGCCGTTTTCACAATGGCTTTGTTGAGAAACCCCTCTGGGACTACTGTAGTTCTTTCTGGTAGTGTTGCTTCCGGTGATCTTGTTGTCGAGTCCACATACGGTTCTTCTGCGTAGGATGAGTAAGATTCCACTCCCGCCAATTTGAATCGATGGGTTTCTAAACGAAAAACATCACCCACGCCCTTAGCTGTTTGTCGTTCCACGCATTCCAATCCCCTCACCTCGATTCCTCAAACAAAACTTTCGATCCTCTGCCAGTTGAATTTGTTGACCCTCTAATTGTAATTCGCATCTTCGCATTTGGAACCTTAAAACGGGAACGTGTGTTTATCACTTCGCCTCTGAGTGACCCTGTCCACTCACACACAAAGGTTTCGGTAGACTGAACCGTTTGTGTCGCATACTGGATCAAAACTGGTATGTGTGCAATTATGATTACAGTCTTTAAGCGAACATGAGCCATCGTGTATTTTCAACATTGAGAGACCCATACTGCGTTCCATCACGCATTGGATGTGCTTGAATCGGCAATTGTTGGCATGAGTTTTTCCTGAAATTTCGAGAATATTAGGCAAATCAAGAAGTCCGAAAAGCGTATTAAAACAATTATTTCTAAAGTCTCAGTTTCAAAAATCAAAAAAAAGTCTTAAAACAACTCCATAAGTACTTTTTTCCGTTGTTCAAACAAAAAATTGTCTAAAGCTTTGTATCACAGAATAAAAGTGAACTAAAAATTTACAAAATGTGACAAGTTTTGAAATGAAACGATTCAGGTTTTTAGCAGTAAAGGGGAAATTCTGTAGGACCTCTAAGAAAACAAAATTTGTGAAAGTTAGCTCATGTCATGAAACGTTTTTCAGCTCCATTGTCAGACATGACTCAAGGGAAATCGATTTCGAAAAACGAAAATTAAGATTCGAATTTTAAAAAGATTTTTGCGCAATTAGAGTTTTTCTCAAATTCATACAAATCATGTACAAAACCGCTCAATGAGATATAGAAATACGCATTTTCCAGTTGACTGTTGGATATTTTGATCATTTCGAGAAGTCTTGAGCTCGGCGGTCAGTTTTCCGATCACTTTAACAACTTCGGTGAGTGTAAAACAGGTGTAGATTGAAAACTTCATATTCACAGTTTTTTTTTTGAAGTGTCCTAGTTTTTCACTTATCCGCCAATTTTTGAAAGACACTATTTTCATGTTTTCAGTACAAAAAACGCGTGGTCAAAAGAAAAATACGTTTTTGTTAATCTTATTGACCGATACTGTACAATTTGCAAAACAATTCTTGATTACGAAAATTAATTTTCAGATTCTTTACCTGTAACAAAATTAGATTTCTTTTATATTTTGTTACAGACATTACACTGTTACCTATCGTTGATCTCTAATTAAAACTCCTTACTGTATTGACTTTTTGCCCGATCCCCAGACCCTATCAACACTAACCGAAATTGTCACATAACGGCGTTCCTCCATTCTCACACTCAGCTTGGTCGCAGCAGGTGCCGTTGTAAAAAAAGAGAAGATCTGTGTGAAAACAAGTCATTAATCTCACTTCTCTCATTTTCTTGACAGGGTCAAGTTGTTCGAACAGCTAATAGTAGTACCTCGATTCGTGCGTTGAATGCATCGCAAAATGCATAGGTTGCTGTAGGTAACGTTGTCGGTCCCGCAAACAGGACGTATTACACCTGGACAGTCGCAATCCGGTGGTAATGACGGGGGTGAGGTAGGTCCTGCTGGACAACATAAAAATTTGCATGTTTTGCCTTTTTCTTCAATCATAAACATCATAAACAGTGTGATTTCACATTACCACACACATTAAATTATTTCCGGATATCCCTTCTGGGCTGTCAGAAGACATACACGAGAATTAAGTTCCCCGAAACAAAGTTAACCTTCAAGAAAAAACGGGAGAACACACAGTCAGGTAAGTAGATTAAAATCACAAGAAAAAAGGAAAAAAATTGAGGAAGGGAGTAAGATTTCTGATCGGGAAAGACCGCTAGTATTCCTTACCTGGTTGATGGTTTTCTTCCTCTTCACACCTGCCATAGAAAAATAGTAGTGGAAATATCAAGGAAAGAAACACGTTTCTACGGACAAGCATGCTTCACGTTCCTCATTTATTGAGAAAGGTGATCAGTGATTAAAAATCCGTAAAAGACAGAATCACCGGAAGTCGCTGAGGGATTCCGTAGGACTTTTGCAAACAGAAGGCAAGGTGGTAGAATGCGTGCGGCGTCACTGGAGGCCGTCAACTTTCGCGAAAAGGCAAGTTCCCCTTCATCGTCATATCGTCAGTAACTCCACCCCTCTCTTTAAAGGTTTTTTTTGTCGTTTGGTCTTACCGTCGAGAAAATGAGAAGTTGACGGTATGTGTGTGTGGGTAAAAGGGAAAGGATAGACGAGCTTTCGTTTGAGAATCTCTGTCGAAGAAAGATTGAACAGCTGATTCAGTTCAGTTTACACTAGAGGAAAACTTTGAAAACCGATTAAGGGTAGATAAGATCTAGGTTTAGCTTTTTGGACTTTGCGCTGTGTAACTTCAGTGATAAGAAGTGTCATAAGTTATGATTATTTACAGTAGTGTTCATATTTTCAGTGATAGATAAATTTGTGTGATAATTGGCTAGTTGTTTGCAAACATAAATGTAAGCAATTGTAAAATCTTTCGTGTTAACATTCAAGAAAATTTGCATAATTGAGAAATGTGGCTTTACTATGAACCTTATTAGTTGTATAGAAATGCAACGAATGTCCAAAGTTGTCTATAAAAGTGTGAACCCTTTTCTTTCAGGACCACAATTTGTTAGGATCAAAACTTTTTTAAGGGCTGAAAGTTATTTTCTTGTCCATTAATGCTTCTTGTTGAGTTGAAGATGTAGACAAGTTACCGTGAATGCTCGAGACCTTATACTTGCCCTTGGAACTCAGTTATTTCAATTCTTATACAGATAACACTGTCAACTAACACAATGTTTGTCATTATACCACCAACATTTTATCAGTTCACAAGTTTTTGATATCTCTCATAGGAACCAAGATAATTGAGCTCAAATGTCATATTTATCTCGAAAACGAAAAATTAGTATGTGAAAACTAACGCTACTGTACAAAACTTTCTGATTCAGTCTGTGTGATGAAAGTACCGTAATACCACCCAACGCTTTGAGTTTAATTTCCTCGGTTCCTAAGAGAGATGTCAAAAATCTGACAACGGATAGAATATTGTTAATATGACTATGAATATTTTATATGTTAACTAAATTTCTAATATCACTCATAGGAACTGAGATAATTGAGCTTAACGTGCACGTATAGGGTGGATAGGGTGGGTTTCTATTAAAGCAAACATAAAGGTAGGTTTATTGGAAATTAGCCCTATTTCCACTGTTGAAAAATGTCAAAACCTTTGAAAAAACCTTTTGAAAATTGTCAAAATATTGAGAAAGAGCGGTGTCCTCTTTATTAAATGAACAGATATTTAAAATTTGTATAGTACCTGAGCTGCGCGGTCAAAAAAGTTAAACTCAAAATTCCAAAAACCAGAAAAAGATACCTGAAAATTCAATCTAAAGTACTGAATTTTGCCCCGTTTCTGCATTGAAAACGTAAAAAAATAGGCGTCTTTCAAATATCGGCAAATAGCTAAAAAACTATACGTTTTCAAAATTTCTGTGAATGCGAAGTTTTTAATTTGAATTTGTTTTACACAATCCAAAACTTTTAAACCAATTGAAAACTGGACAACCGAACTCCGGACTCTTAAAATGTTGAAAATCAAGTGAAAAATACGTTGTTGTATATTTTCTTGACCGCTACTCTATAAGCTTTACATCATTCTGATTATATTATTTTTCAGAAATCACCAGCTGCTGTTTTTACCGGTTCCCAACGTCATGCCACGTTTTCACCCATCCCTGAAACTCATTCCCCATCAACTCAATGTACTTCCATCACCGAACCACACCCAAATGTTCGAAAAGTGATTATGAAAGTCACTGGCGTCGTGGCGGCATGTGTGCATGGTTATGCGTGTGTGTGCAACCCATAACCATCATTGATAGCTATATTAGTTCTTGGCGGGAAAAGTGGAAAAGTGTGGCAATCGCTTAAACGGCACAAATATCAAAATTGGCTTATCAAACAATAAAATTTTTTCCAACGACAGGTCCAACCCGCCGATAGGAGGACAGTTTCAGTTTGCTGCTGCTCTGCCCCAACGCAATGCGGCTCTTACTGGCTCTATTTCTACTGGTAACTGCAGTAGCAGCTGCACCAAATCATGGTTGGTTTTTGTATTCACTATCTAAGTAGGTCACCACCAAATTTCAGACTCATCTCCATTCCAAAACTTGCCAAACTACTACCCAGACCTCAGCAGCGAAGACAGCTTCCATGTCAGAGCCAAACGCGCCATTTTTGCTGCTCTCGGAATCGCAAGCTCTTGTGAGGATGGATGGACCGGAGATGGATGTAAAAACCCAATCTGTACTGCTTCAAATCCAGCGCCTTCTTCTGGACAGACCGCTATGATCGAACTTTTGTTCTTGAAGGGCAGCTGTGCTGGATCGTAAGTGGTCCTGGATTTTTTTTTTAATTTTAACATACTTTCTATAGATACTACATCCCTGTGGATTCTGACGTTGGAAAAGCCTCACAAACAATTCAAATCCACGTTTCCGCTTCTGGAACTCCATACGTGAACTTGACCGATGCCAAAGGAATGGTTTTCGTTCCAACCTACACCAACAGCGGAGATGGTTACGCTTTGACCATCTTCGGAGATCTCCCATCTGGTGGCTACTCCCTGACCATTGACAATCAGAATATTCCAACTACTGAGTGCATCGTGGAAGTTAACGTAAGTCATACTGTAAAGTATCAGTGAATAAGACAAACAAAAACGTATTTTTCAATTGCTTTTCGGCCAATTTGACCATTTTCAGAAGTCTGGAGCTTGGCTGTCTAGTTTCAGATCACTTTTAAAACTTTAAAAGGGCTTAAGCAGAGTTAGATTGAAAACTTTATATTCATCGAATGTTTCAAGAGTTCCTAGTTTTCCAGCTGTTTGCACAATTCTGAAGGACACCCTTTTTTGGCACGTTTTTAATGTTTTTCAGAAGCTGACAAATATCTGAAAATAATGAGATTTTCCAAAAGTTCTGTGAATACAAAGTTCTCAATCTAGGTCTGTTTTAAACTCTCCAAGATTTTCAAAGCGATTGGAAACTGGACAGATGAGCTGAAGGTCCCTGAAAATGCCCAAAATCAACTAAAAAGTACTGTAGTTTTGAGTTTTAGTCACATTCCTCACAAACTCTCGATTTTTTTTCTTTGATGTCGTCGTCGTAACAAGATCAAAACTGATAACGAGTTGCCTACATTTTTATGAGTTCTATGCTTATCAGGACAAGCGTGAATGAAAAAAGAAAAACGTGGCATTGTTGAAAAGATGACTGCGTAAAATTTTTAGAGTAGTAAAGAGGAGAGAAGAAAATTTTGTTTGAATGTAATATGAAATGCAATGAAATAAAATGAGCCAAGGGAGGGAAATTGAGGAAATAAAACTATTTAAAACAAACTACTGTAGAGCGAAGCCAATCTCAAAATTGCCGAAGGATTTGTCTACACTCCACAATCCGATGACACTCCATATGGAGAGTCCGCTGTTGATGGAGTCCCAATGTACGTTGTGGCTCATGTCGCCGCTCAACAAGCACCAGCTCGTAAGGAAGATCGAAAATCATAACAGTCTTCTAATTATCAAAAGTTTCCAGAAGTTCAATCGATAACCATCCGTCAGGGAAATTCGCTGACTCCAATCTATCGTGCTGCTCTGACAAGAAGGTATGTTTTGCTGGTAATTTCCTGATAATAGTATTAAAATATGTTTCGTATCAGTTAGTTTACAGATACCAGTGCGGATATGAATACTATGCTGGACAGTGGCAGTGCCAATTCGGAAATTCCTATTACTTTCATGTAGGGAGATTTTGAAAAAAGAAAAATTGAAATAAAAATTGGTTTCAGGTGGACGGAGTTGATTCCAATGGATTCAACTTCAGAAGAACCGGAAGATTTGCTTGCATGCGTGAGTCATTTTGAATTATTCATACAGTATTGTATTCTTTATTTGATTTTTTGCAATTCAGAGAATTCCCAAGAATCTCGAGCTCGGGTGTAAAGTTTTCTATAGCTTAAACAAATTTGGAGAATGTAAAACCGATTTGAATGGAAAACTTTGCATTTATAGAATTTTCTTCCTTCGAGAAATTGGCAAACTAGGAATCATCAAAAAATTTAGTGTATGCAAATTTTCATAGTTATTGGAAACTTGAAAGCTGAGCTCCAGACTCCAAAAAATTATCGAATTGGTGGAAATGAACTGAACATACATTTTTGTATATTTTAAGGAATATTTATTATATTTTCTTTTCTAGAACACCTCACTTCCCTTGCCCCACCAACAACCACTCAAGCCCCATTGACCAGTTGTTTCAACAACGGAACTCTTCTCAACGTGAACAATCAAGGAAACACCTGCTTCTGCCCAGAACTCTTCGCCGGAAGACAATGCGAAAAGGTCAACTGCATGAATGCCGGATTCCCAGATCCAGACCAAAACGAATGTGTCTGTGCCGCTGGATACCACGGAACCAACTGCCAGGATGGTTAGATTACTTTTAGAAGATTTTGAAGATAACATTTTTTTTCAGTGACCTGCCCATTGAACTGGGAGCCATATCTAACTGACTACAAGACCTTGATTGTTATCATAAGATCAACCACTTCGATGAACCAAAACCTTCAAGCAATTGCTCAAGCTGTTTATGTAGAGCTCACTAGCAACTCTGCATTGGGCTATGATGTGTACAAGGGATTCGTGCTTGTGAAATTCGCCAATGGAAAGTACACCAACACCTACTATCCAACTTACGATCAAACCAAATTCCTTACTGCTATCACCACCGCTTCCACCACCGATGGACAGTGCTCAGATGCCACTTTCGATTCAATCGCTTCAATTTTCACTGAAGTCGCTGTCTACCAAAAGTCTCCTATCTACTTCTTCACGGATGCCATTGCTAGTGATGTTGAGAAATGGCAAACTGTCATTGAGATGAACACCCGTCAGAAGTACCCAATCTACACTCATTACTTTGTCCAGAACAACTGTGGATTTGATGAGATGAGCCAAGGATTCCAAGCCATTGAGTATGCCTCTTACTACAGTGGTGGATTGATTTTGAGACCTACAACAGATACATTGCAACAAGTAATGTTTTTTAAAAATGTGCTTTTTAGAAAATCGATCTCAATTTTTCAGATTTTCCAAAACGTGATCAAGGCTACCGCTTACAAAATGAACTCTGTTCTGATTGATGATCTGGCTAGCTGCTCCACTCCAACCAGAGTGTTCTTCGTTGACACCTCCACCACTGAGCTCATGATTCTTGCTATTGGACAATCATTGACAGTTACTGTCACTGATCCAAATGGAGCCAAGAATACAGCATTGAAAATTGTTGAGAGTGGAACTACATACATGTATGAGATTCCTAGTCCAGTTGTTGGAGAACATTTGATTACTGTTGTCTCGAACGTGGTGGGTTAAGGTGTGATATCATAAAAACTGAAAAAAAAATTTCTAGCAAAACTCCCCATGCTCATACCGCGTTCAAGCCCGCTCTGAATACGATCTCTTCATTGGAACCAGCACGGGTGTCAACGATGATGCCAGTGACTCGGAACCAGTCTTCGGTCAATCCACTCACATTGTCGCCCAACTTTCCGGACTCAAGAACAAAGTCGCCGATCCATTCCGTCTCTTCTCTGAGATCTCCATTACCAGCAACGTGAACACTGATGGAATCTACCAGAAGCCAATGTACTACTCTAGCGGAAAGTATCGTGATGGATGTGGTTTCCATATGTACTTTGGTGCCGCCTCGTTCTGCGACTTCATGTCTCAGCCGTTCTACGCCACTGTTTATGCTGATGATGGAAAGGGATTCACCATTCAAAGAACTACAACTGGATTCTGTTCTGGAAGTGAGCACTAGTTTTTTAAAAGAATAGCGCACAGGCAATTAATTAAGACAGTACAAAATTTTGGGGTCGTTGGAGTACAAAGCAATTAGAGGGTGCTAAACATTCAGATCGGAGGTACAAAATACCTTTATCAATCAATTTCGTACTCCCGAACTGTGGATTCTGTCCCCCTAACTGACTTGGTACCCCGTTGTATCACCCAATTGTTGTACTCTCCAAATTATGTGCCTAGCTTGCGGTATCTGTATTTTTTGTTCTCGTGTATTTTTACGGGCAGCGTATGACTGTTCTATTACAGCTCCAACCACTCCATACCCACCAAACACGTGCCAGAACGGAGGAGTGACCGACCCAACTAATAACGGTACTTGCATCTGCCCACCCGGATTCTATGGACAATAGTAAGACGCGCTTAAAATTGATTGACACGTATATTCTAATATCGTTTAGTTGCGGAAGCATTCAATGCGTCAACGGAGGAACCGCCAGAGGAGGACAGTGTGTTTGCCCAGTCGGAACTGCTGGAACGTTCTGTGAACAATGTACGAAAGAAGTGGTAGTACCTAGGGATCTAACTTTGTTCTTGTTACAGACGAATGCCTTTCGATCAACGGTAACCCAGACGTTTCCTTCGATGGACAGTCTCTTGCTTTCGTTATCTCGACCAGATCAACAATGAAGGACGCTGTTGCTTTGATCGCTGCCAATGTTCAAACCATGACTCGTGACATTCAACAGGCTTCTGGAAAATGGATCAACAAGTGGATTTTGATTGCTGTCAATTCTGACACCTACTCCCTTCTCGTCAACTCCGATCGTCCAGCCGACTTTGTTGCCGGAATTAACAATCTTTCTGCAAATTTCACCAACTACGCTGGTGCCGAGCCAAATTGCGATATCCAAATCGAACTAGCTATGTATGGAGCGGCTCTCATCTCCGAAAGACGCTCTTCTGTTTGGGTCTTCGCCGATTCTGCCGGCCCGAATGACTTATCTTACATTCAATTGTTCGATGTATCTCAGGAGTATCAACTCTCTCTCAATCTCGTCGGAGTTGGTTCATCGATCTGTACTACAGCTGAAAACAACGGGCAGTTCCCATACTATCTCAAGAGCCTTACCGAAACAACTCTCGGATCCGTGTACATGACCACAAAACTCGATCAAATCATGCTCTTCATTGTAAGCATGTACAAATCATCGGTCTCTCACAGATACTACGTCCCTGATTGTCTTAATCCTGTATCATACTACATGCCAGTCGATGGATGGACTCAATCTCTTACTCTCTCGGTTATTGGAACTGATCTTCGCAGTGTTCAAGTCACATTCCCAGATGGAACTCTTGGACAGAACTCTGATTATGAACTAGTTGCTATCAATGAGGTAGAACTCAAATTGAATCAATACGTTGCTGCTTGTGAGGGATCCTTCTGGAATTATCGCCTGCAAAACTGCTACCAACTGCAAGGTGAGAAGTACACATGGTTGGACAACTGGGATTACTGTCATGCTCAGAAGGCTTATCTCATTCATATCGACAGTCAAGATGTAAACGATTACGTTCATACTCAAGTTGGTTATTACCGAGCTTGGATTGGACTTGCTTTCAACAACGGACAATGGTATTGGGATGTTCCAGATGGCAACTTTGCTCAACCACTGATCGGATACACCAACTGGGCACCAGGTATCGACCCAACAAAGCCAGCTTTCAACCACGCCGTCATGAATGTTGATGGAAAATGGGAACCAGCTGACCCAGCTGAACTCAACTTTGCTGGTTGCATGAAACATCGCTACGGACAAGGATACTACCCAGGAGAGAATGCCAATATTGTTCCAGGAGGTCTTTGGAAGGTCACAGTTCAAGCTAACAGTGGAAGTTGTGAAATTCAAGCTCGCTCGCAATCCGAGATCCAGGTCTTCTACGGATTCACTACTGATCCAAGAAACGATAAGCCAAACACTTACGCCAATATTCAATCTAGTGAGTTTCAGAGTTCCTTGTCTTTATTATCCAGTGACTTGTTTCAGACAGCAACTACCTCGTTGCCTATCCAACTGGAGTGTTGCCATACACCCCCGACACTAAGCCATCCATGGAAGGAAAACTCAACTACGCTGTGCTGGTTAGCAACAGAACAATCACTAACTCTTTGCCACTTGGAAACCGCGTCTGTACCTATGCCACTATTTCGGCTCCATTCTCTTGTCCCGATACAGACGGATCCATTTCTGAGTTCTCCATCAAGGTAATTTCAATACTTTTTAACCTTAGGAGACTTTACAAACTACTCACTTCTTTCAGTTCACAGGAATCGATCAATACGGTTACGCATTCGAACGTTACGGAGACGCTTTGTGCACCAAGACCATCATCAACTGCTTCAACGGAGGATTCGTCAACAACGGAGTCTGTGTCTGCCGCGCTGGATGGATCGGAGCCACTTGCTCCACACCAGTCTGCCAGAATGGAGGAATTGAGAAGAATGGAGCTTGCGACTGCTCTGCTGTCCCACAATTCAGCGGTCAATTCTGTCAACTTGCTCACTGTGAGCCACCATACCCAACTTCCTTTAATGACAAGGAACGAACACTTGTTCTAATGCTTGAGACATCTTATAACATGGGATCTTCCATATTCCAATTGAAGAAGAACTTGAAGGCATCGCTCGACAGCATTAACAACGACCCGACTCTTCAAGGATGGTTCACTAACTTTGTTCTCTATCCATTTGATTCCAGTAATTCTTTTTTTCTTCTTTTTTTGAATGGTATCAACTCTGATTATTTCAGCCAGCAACCAAGACTCATGGTACCCACCAACTGTCTCTCGCAACTCTGACGATATCGTTGCCGCTGTTAAGAACATCAGTACCATGTCTTGCCCAGGAGCTGCACCATGCTCTTCTCGTAAGCTTTTCAAAGAACCAACAACATATGAGAAATAATATTTCAGAATGCCCACGTCCAATCGTCGGCGTTATCAAGAACATTCTCAACATGGAAGTGCTCAGTGCACCAAACTCTGTGATTCTCGTGATCACTAGATCGTCACCAGAAGACTACACCAGTGTTGGATCTATCGCTCAGAAACTTCAAGATAAGAAGGCTTATGTGAGTGGCCACTTTCCAAAATTTTCACAATGATTGGAAAGTTGATAATCGAGTTCTAGACTTCTGGAAATTCTCAACATCGCCAAAAATCAATTTTAGAAAAATTCACATATTTTGAAAAGATGATTTCAGATCAATTTCGTTTTCCCCGCCATCGACTCTCCATGTGGGGAAGGATGGAACAACCCGAATGTTGACGCTTTTTACCAGATCATCAGCTACTCCCAAGGAAACACTTTCACGGTAACCCAACCAATCTTTTTATATCAATCACAAATTTCATACAGATGAACGCTGTTGAATTGTCCAAGAACTTCCTCACCCAATACATCCCAACACTCTATTCCTCTGGAGGCATTGCCGCTTCCAATGGAAACTGCCAGAACGACGAGATCATTTTCCAAGTTGAACATGAGATGTACGAGTTCTCCATTGACTTCTATCATCCACTTCTGGAGAGTATCAAGGTGTTCGACCCATCTGGTGATCAGTTGACGGTTCCTGACAATATTATTAGCTCTGACACCAACTACATCGGAATCTTCCCAGTAAATGAAACTGGAGCCACTCGAGCTGGAACCTACCGTATTCTTCTTACCGGAACTGGAGGAAACAACTGCTTCGCTACCGTCCGTGGAAGATCTGGTCTTGAAATCTTCCTTGGATTTGTGGATTCTGCTGCTGATGGTAACAATGGAGCCACCAACGACGCCGCTCTTCACGCACCAGTAAATTGTGAGTTATAAAAAAATTTAGAAAGTAATTTTGCTGAATTTTCAGTGGAGAACAACACCATTGTGGTTCATGCAAACGGTCTTGGTAATGGAATCGTAAGATATGTCCAAATCGTGATGCCAGGATTTGGATTGATGCACACTACAGAGATGAGAAGACGTGACGCCGAGTGTAGCTACGAGTGGTATGCAACGACTCCATACTCGTTCGACTATGATGTAAGAATTTCGAATTGTCATTAATATTCTCAAATTTTAATCATTCAGAGCTACTATGTGATCATTTACGGAAGCAGTGAATTTGGAAGCAACTGGAAAAGAAACTTCTACGTTAGCACTGTTGGAGGCCGTCCAACACCTCCACCACCACCAGCAAACTGTGATCTCCAGGCAGTCAAACAGGATACTCTTTTCATGATTGACAGCTCTCTCAAGGATACCAACATCACTAACACAATCGTGAGCCATATTTTTATTGCCTATAACTTTAAAAAAAATTTTAGTTGAAACAATTCGCTGTAACCTCAATGCAACCATATAACTATGCCCAAGGATTGACCCAGGTTGCATCTCTTTTGCTCTATGACCAGGTTCAAGGTGGATTCTCGTACAACGCTGGAGAGAACTCATTCGATATTGTCTCCTCGCTTTTGTACTCACTTCCATATGTGGGACTTCCAGGACAAAATGTTACCTCGTATGTTCAATGTCATTATGATCAGATCAAGTTGTTTGTTTTTCAGAGGATTGGAATACGCTCTCAACTACTACAGTACGCCAGCTCAAGGATACAGATCTGGTGCCGACATTCGACATGTTCTTGTCTATGTGACTAACACAAAGTGAGATCCGAAGCTACTTGAAAACTGTAAAATTCCCTATTTCCAGCCCTACCGATCCTGATCCATCTGAACTTATTCGCTCCATCAAACGATCCGGACTTTATGAAGTTGTTGTTGTTGCTCTGGACATGGAGCCATCTGACAAGCTGACTAATATGGTTTCTCCAAGATGCTTCTACTATGCTAAAGACTATCATGACTTGATGAATTACGGAGTCAACTTTGTTCAAGGACAGTCTTGCATGCGCTGGAACTTCTGCAATTATTGATTTATGATAATTTCATTTTTTCTTTTTTGTTTATTCCTGTTTTGCCACTAAAACTAAAACAAATGTCTCAATAAAGTATTTGTACTTCTTGTCCCATTTTGACAATGATTTTTTCTTTTAACACACTTGAAGTGGTTCGAATCTTTTCAAGAAAGTTTCAGCTTGATTTCAAAACAATTTGCTAAACATCAAATACACTTTTTCATTTTAGAGTTATATATATATTTTTTGATGTCATAGTTCTGGCACAG